CGGGGCTCGATCCCAGGACCCTGGGGTCGTGACCTGAGCCGAAGGCAGACGTATAACAACTGAGCCACCCAGGTGCCCCAGAGCACGCAACTCTTGATCTTGGGGTTGTACGTTTGAGCCCCATATTGGATATGGAGATTACTTATGAAAAAAAAGAAGGTTCATGAGATCAATAGTTCTTATTACTGGTGATGGTATTAAGAGTAACAAACTTGTACTTGATAAGCCTCAAAGAGGAAAGTAATGGCCATTGAGTGTTCCTGAGGATGTGAAGGGTTCAGAATAGGGTTAAGTGATGAGTCTGGTGTCACTCGGCACCCTTGGTGGTCAGAATGAAAAGAAGTGTCAAAGGATAGTCAGAGGCTCTCCTAGTGACAGAAGTGCTTCCTTAAGTGGAGACTGGTGTTCTCACTGGCTTTTAGTGCATTGCACATGAGTCAAGGAGTTCAACGCCTTCTTTACCCACAATGGTAAGGCAGGCAATCATCTGCAGGCTGTTTATTCCACTCTCTTCACCTTACCTGTGTTTATGAGGCCGAGGATACAGAGAGTGATCGAGACATTGACCTTGGTCACTGAATGTTCCATCCTGATAGAGGAGAAAAACCCATCCAGAGCAAACTTGCTTGCAGAATAGGGTGCAACAAGTGGACTAGCCATTTTCCCTAAATAATAAGGAAATGGGTTAAGAAGGTGACCCATTTTAGCTTCTACAAAGATGATCTTTGCTTTATCTGTAGTAGGATTTGTAACCCCTTTTACCCTTTGAGGCATAGTTTCTCTTTACTCTTACAGAGATTATCATGCTATGTTGAATTTCTGAAAGAAAAAAAGACTATTAAGGTATCAAAGAAACTTCCCTTGAAGAGACTGAGGTGGGAGGTGGGGTGGGCTGCAGGAAAGGCTTCACTGAGGAAAGATTGGTTAGATTTTAGTAAGGGTGGTAAATAAGTGGGACTACAAAAGAGCCATGTAATCCCACAGCTGCTAACTCTGTTACCTCTGACCCAAGACAGCGGACATCTGAGGGTTTGGCAAGAGCTCTCTGCCAACACAGCAACCTATTATTGATTGTCTTTCTATACAAGGGAAATGAAAATCCTTGTCTTTGCTTTTCTGCTTAAAACTGCTTTTCTTACTTTCATCATTCTGGTTAATTCTCAGCCAGTTTGGGGGAGGACATGTGGACATATGCCTAATAGGGTGACCTATTCATTATAACCTTTCCAAGACGAGGGATTAGAATGGGCCTGAGACCTTAGACTCTTTGCTGAGCAAAGAGTTATAATAGCTACTTTAAAATTCTTTTTTTTTTTTTAAGATTTTATTTATTTATTTATTTGAGAGTGAGAGAGAGAGAGAGAAACAACATGAGAGGGGAGAGAGTCAGAGAGAGAAGCAGGCTACCTGCTGAGCTGGGAGCCTGATGTGGGACTTGATCCCAGGACTCTGGGATCATGACCTGAGCCGAAGGCAGTCACTTAACCAACTGAGCCACCCAGGTGCCCGCTACTTTAAAATTCTTGTCAGCTAATTCTAAAATATGGGTCATTTAAAGATTGATCTCCATTGATTGCCTTTCCTCCTGAGTATCAGTCATATTTCCTATTCTTGTATGTGGAATAATTTTGCAATGTATTCTTGATATTGTGAATGATACATTGTAGAGTCTCTGGATTCTGTCATATTCCTCCAAAGAGTATTGATTTTTGTTTTTGTTTTTGTTTTTGTTTTTCAGGTGAGCATTTAACTTGGCTGAAACACTGTGTCTCTCGCAGTAGGTTCCAGCTAAAATCACTGTTGAATTATTTAATCCTAATTGACTTCTTGGTATCTACATTACCCATGGGTAATTCGAGGGAAAAACAGATTCTGGAAGAGTTTATATATAAAATTTGGTACTCTTCCATTGTGGCTCTTGCCTTTCCAGGATGTTCCCCCTCCACTTTCTGGCTGCTACAGAAACCTAAACTCTTCTTTCTGGTTCTTTAAGGTAGTAAGACGGCAGATGTCTATCCCAGATATGGTGTTGATTGTGGACTGCCCCTAGGCATAAGCTATAAAACTGGGAAACTCACCTAGTGTCAGTTCCCCTTTTCCCCTTTTCAACTGTCAACAACTCTCCAGTTTTTGCAGCTTTTGCTTTTTCTCTCCAGTGCTTTCAATGGTTTCTTTCTATATGTTGTCCAAAGTTTGATCTGGGGCAGGCTGATCTGTTAGGTGCCACTCTGCCATTAACGGAATTGGAAACTCTGTAAGTTCTTAAATGAAGTCGCTTGCCAAATCAATGAAAAAAAATGACTTATTCAATAAAGATGCTGGGAAAGTTGGTTAACTCATTGGAAAAAATTATTAGCTCCTTGTTCTATATCATATATCCAAAAAATTCTAGATGGAAAGTATGGCAGATGTTATTGTCTACCCAATATCCATTTCCCACTTTTTAATAATAGAATATGATTTTTTCTCAGGACATCAGTGTGTTCAGATAAAAATATTTATTTCCTCAAGATTCCCTCGCTCTTTTGTGTGGCCAAGTGATCTAGTTCCAGCTAATGAGAAATCTAACAGAGGGGGTCTCCAGGAAAGTTATTAATTTCCTGATGAAATAGGTGGATTCAGGTGGCATGCAGTTTTTACATTTTGCCTCTCTTCTTTCATCCTAAATGTACTCCAGATGTGATGCCTAGAATTGCAGTGGTCATTTGTGAACTGGAGGAAAAGCTACATATTAAGGATTATAGCACAGAAATGTGGAATGAGCTTGGATTCTTGAAGATATAGTAAGTCCACCAAACCAACCCTGAACTTATTCCCTGAGAAAAAGGAAGCCCTATTTAATGTTAAGCGATTTTAAGTGGAGTTTTTGTTATATGTGCAGCAGAATGCATCTTCTGACTGATAAAAAATAATTCAACAGGAAAGAAGATAATACAGGTGAATATTTATCAGATCCTTGGTTATGAAAGATCATTCTAACAGAAAAGTAAAAAAAAAAATATGTAAAGGCACAGAATATTTGATGATATAAAATGTAAAACTTCTGTATGTGAAAGCAATAGCTATAATAATATCACTATAAAGGTAGAGGGTATGGGGTGCCTGGGTGGCTCAGTCGTTAAGCGTCTGCCTTCGGCTCAGGTTGTGATCCCAGGGTCCTGGGATCGAGCCCCGCATCAGGCTCCCTGCTCAGTGGGGAGTCTGCTTCTCCCTCTCCCACTCCCCCTGCTTGTGTTCCCTCTCTTGCTGTGTGTCTCTCTGTCAAATAAAT